ATGAGAAGATTGATTTCGGTCCAGAATAATTTAATGTTTACAAAATCAAATTTGGAATATTAATCTTTTACATTTAAATAAAAGACAAATTATAATAAATATAAATGTCATAAATAAGGGTAAATTTGACATTTGAAAAAGTTTTAAATCCAGAAATCTAAAACGGTAAAATCTGTAAACATTGGACCATTTGTAAAAATAAGTTGTAAAATAGCTTATACATAGATTTTTGTTTATCAAGCATATCTCCGGTTCTTAGATTAAAAAAAAAAACAGTTAATAAAACATATATAGTTTTTATTTAAAAAAACAGAAAATTAAACGGAAAAAAACTAAGAAACCAAAAAACAAAAAACAAAAATCTTTATTAAATGGGCCTTAACCTTTCATTTCTTTTCCTAAGTGATGCTAGCCATAAATATACAGAACTTAAATTTGAAAGAATTTAAATAGTGATGAAGAATAGAAGTTTGCTCTAGTAATATTAAATAGTTATTAAATGCTAGCCATTTGCTCCTAATATAGATATATATATATTATATCCCTAGCTAATTTCAACAATTCCAATTATTCTATAATTCTACCAATTTGCACCTAACTCAAATGGTTAGTTTATATTTTTCTAAATATTTGATGACAGAATCACAATTCATAATCATAATTTCCAAAAATATATTATTAAAATTAAATTTTAAAGAAAAATTGAAACAAGTAAATAAAAAAAAAGTGATGCTGTAAAAAAATAGAAAAAAAAAAGTTATTACTCCAAGATTAAAAGGTACAAAATATTATTTATATATAGTTCAAAGAACATTTGTGTTGCATCCGAGAAGCTAGCTATAATTGCAAATGGTGAAGATATAATTGTTTTTGCACCTAACCTCAGCACAACCAATGTATTTTGTGTCCTTYCCCACCACATTCATAAAATGGCCACACTCATCGTTCACACACTTGTTGGCCTTGGGGTCGTAGAATTCCTTCTCAGTAGCCCAGAACTTCACCGTCGCCTCCGCCGTCGTCGACTCGAACGCCTCCGCCAAGTTTTCGGCATAAGGTCCCATCGAATGCTCCATCTCGCAGGTATCAACCCTTGTCTTTGCRAAGTTCTCRGCATAGTCAGCCAACGTCGTATTCCAAGCCACAGGGCCAACGCCGTTCTCGGCACGAATCGCATTGTGGACATCCACAAAGTCCTTCGGGCTGCTATTCGCAACCGCTACGGTTGCAGTCATGGTTAGGGTTAGGGCTAGGGTTAGCCCCACCAAACAAATCGTCGAGGCARACTTTGGGACTGCCATTTTGAGAGATATTAGGAGTTGGTTGTGGAGATTTGGGTTTGGTTTAGAGTATTTATATTGAGAGGGGAGAGATGGGTATGTTTCCATTTTAGTAAATTGGTTTCAAATGAAGGGTAGGAAAAAAAAAAGGAGATAAGAGTGGAGGCACCAATGAAATTCCCTAAATTATTGCTCACAATGGAACAATGTTGTTGTGTGTGGATGGTAATAAAAATTTCTAGTGACAATTTTACACCACTAAATTGAGTTATCATTTATCTAACCATTATAACAATTTAAAGGGAATTATATATTTCATCCATAATGTTTGATATTTCCATATATATCGACATTTTATATTTTTAAGAGTTCGATATATCAATACTGAAGGTTGATGAATATGTAAAGTTAGTTTTGTAACCAAATGTGTAGGATTCTAATAGATTAACTTTCTTTATCATTCAAAAATTTGAAATTAGGTATAAGTCTTTTTTCTTTTTCTTTTTAATAATGACTTGAAAATAAAATGAATTGCTTTATAGTTATTTTAATTTTGAACAATGTTGTTGTGTGTGGATGGTAATAAAAATTTCTAACCATTTTCAGTTGGGTTGACAATTTTACACCATTAGATTGAGTTATCATTTATCTAATAATTATAACAAATTAAAGTGATATTTCCATATATATCGACATTTTATATTTTTTAGAATTTGATATATCAATATTGAGGGTGGATCCATATGTAACTCGAGTTTCGTAACCAAATGTTTAGGATTGTAATAGATTAACTTTCTTTATCATTAAAAAATTTGAAATTAGGTAAAAGTCTTTTTTTTTTCTTTTTAATAATGATTTCAAAATAAAAGAAATTGCTTTATAGTTATTTTGAGGGCAAATTGCAACAATCATTATACTTTAAGGGTGATTTTAGGGTTCAATTGCAAAAATTAAACCCTTAAACTTTTATGAGTGAAAAATTATACCCAAAATCTTTTAATTGTAAAAATTAAACCTCCAAAATTTCCTAAACTTTCCTAATTGAATAAATTACAACCCTAAAATTTATAATTTTAAAAATTAAACACTAAAAACATTTTTTTTTTAGGGTCACATTGTTATCCTTTCTCTCTTTCATTGCTCTCCCTGTCTCTACTTTGTATGCTGGCCGGCAAGAAGACATATGTAGAAAACAATGGAAAAAGTGGACAGATGTTGTGGGTTGGGAGGATTTGGGGCCATGTAAGATAAGAATGCATTACTCCAATGGAAAATATAATCTCGGATGTCTCCAAAGCCTCTCGAAATTGGTGGACGACATCCTTGCGTTTCAATGTCTTCAAGATCTGGAGTGTCGGGATCTTGAAGGAGAGATCGAGCGAAAGAAACGCAAACATTGGTGAGGAGTTGAGGTCATTTTGAAATCTGGAGAGGTTGGAGTTTCTAGACATTCACAAATTTTGGAACACCCAGTTTTCTCTCAGATTGAAGGAGGTTATCGTGAGTGTAAATTTTCTCAGAGGACAGAGTCCAGAGATATGGAAAAAACTCACATCAGCCTTGTGGGGAATAGATTTTTCGGCATGGATTAATCGAAAAAATTCCTCTCAGAAATCCCTTGCACTTGACGGCAATAGCCTTGAACGAAAATTGTCGATATGGCCGAGTCCCATTTCTCCATAGTTTCATTATCAATTTCCATCAGCCTAGTGCTCAACTTCTATTTTTTTATGGTTTAATTTTTAAAATTGAAAGTTACATGGTCCAATTTTTTCATTTATGAAAGTTTAAAGGTTTAATTTTTACCATTGAAAGTTTATGGGTACAATTTTTTTCACTTAAACTAAGGGTTTAATTTTTCTACTTGAGAAAGTTTAAGGGTCCAATTTTTACAATTAAAAGTTTAAGGATGAAATTGCAACCATCATCATACTTTAAAGGTGGTTTTTGCAATTTACGCTTATTTTAATTTTTGTTATGCAACGGGAATCGATAGTCGAGCTACAGGTTACGACCGGAGGGAAGCCCACTGGGCCACGAGGGGCTCGGTCCCAACCCGGGGCTCGGTCCCGAGCCGTGCTCGGCCCACGGTCCAGCCAACGATCCCCCGTCTTCGATCGACAATTTCGCCCAGGCCTGCAACGGTGAATTAGGGTTAGCCACGGAAAGTTCTGGAACAACTTCACGCTATAAGTAGCGATCCAGCCTTAGAGGTAAGGGCATCCAAAAGTTGACTACATTTACGCTATTCTCTTGCTAACTTAAGCATCGGAGCCCGTGTGACTAGAGTCACACCGGTTTAGCTCGATTTGGTTTTGCAGGTACTAGTCCCGAAGTAACAAGTTTGGTGGGTGCGAGGAGGAGAACCAGAGGACCGAAGTCCACGCATCAACAATTGGCGCCGTCTGTGGGGACGATTTAAAGCATCCAGTTGAGCAACATGACACCAGTAAGGAGTCCACGACGCTCTGATGATAACTGCTCTGCCAAGAGGAGGAGGCTGAACTTGGACGACCCCTAGGTTGGAGGACCCGAGGATGGGACCAGCCAACCAAACCCAGAACGTTAGGAGGGGTTGCCCGAGGCGCATGCACTAACGACCCCTGAGTCACTCCAAAAGCAGTTCGCGGTCTTGGAAGACAAGGTAGAGGGCATGCTTCAATGCATGACCGAAGTCCTTCGACAATTAGTGCGACAAGAGTCCGACGAGGTACCCCTTGTCAGAGACCCGAGAAAGGGGAAGGGCCCAGCGCAAAGCGAGACCGAGGAGTCAACAAATGGTGCAGGGAGCAAGTTGCGGATATGTGGAAATACCAGGCGACGAACACGGATTTTCGACTCCCAAAAGATGAAAAAGCAACGTAAATCCCCGGCACCAAACGGGGGCAAGAGCGACCATGATAACAGAAACTCTGAGCCGATAAGTCTCGACAAAGACAGACTGACAGATCGGCCAGAGCCTTCGGAGAAGCGACACAACCAAAAGGAGAAGGGATTCGACCTCGAAGAACTACTGGATCAAGCCGACTCACCATTCACGGAGGAGATCATGGGAGAAAAGGTCCCTCCAAAATTCAAGCTACCCACGGTGAAACAATTCGACGGGTCGACCGACCCAGTGGACCATCTAGATGCTTATCAGGAATGGATGGATATCTACGGAGTGTCGGAAGCGGTCAGGTGCCGGGTATTCTCGACTACATTAAATGGGTCGGCCAGAATATGGTTCCGACAATTAAAACGAGGGTCAATCTCGAGTTCTAAGAGCTTGGCCAGAGCATTCGTGACCCAGTTTGTAGGGGGACGGTGTCGGAGCCGACCCGTGGCCTATCTATTAACTATTAAACAGAGGACGACAGAGAGTCTGCACGACTATATAGCTCGGTTCAACGAGGAGAAGCTGCAGGTAGAAGGCCTTACAGACGCTATATCTCTGCTGGCCTTCATGTCCGGCGTCAGGGATGAGCATTTGTCGTTCTCGTTCGGAAAGAGAACACCGAGTACCTTCTCGGAGGCGCTGAGCCGAGCTCAGAGGTACATGAGCGCTGATGAGCTCTTTTACTCAAAAAGGGAGCCAGACGAAAAGCGAACCGACCAAAAGAGGGAGAGGTCAGGAGATAAGGGTCGAGATGGGAGAAGAGGGATTGGAGTAGCCAGAAAGATCCACCCTGAAAATTTGAAAAGTATACCCCAACCACCGTTCCACTCGAGCAAGTGATGATGGAGATCAAAGACCAAAGGTTGCTTAAGTGGCCGGAGAGGATGAAGGCCCCGTCAACTAAGCGAAGTAAAGGCCGATATTGCCTTTTCCACCGGGATCACGGCCATGCAACTCAGGATTGTTTTGATCTCAACGAAGAGGTGGAAGGGCTAATCCGAAGGGGCTACCTCGAAGAGTATGTAGAAGAACCTAAAGCAACACAAAACGGCGAAAGCGACAAGTCTCCTGCTCGAGAGATTCGAACTATAATGGGAGGCCCTATAGAAAGAGAATCTGGAAGGAAAAGAAAAGCAGATGTGCAAGAAGCTAGGGCGAATCGCGAACAAAATGAGGTCTACCATGCGTATACTACGAACCGGCCGGTGACGATCCAGTTTTCAGAGGACGAGGCGACTCACCTCCTCCACCCTCATAACGATGCACTGGATATCACTTTGAAAATAGCAAATGTGAAAGTACATCGAATTTTGGTGGATGGGGGCAACTTGGCAGATATCATCTCTTGGACAGCCTATAACGTTATGGATCTAGGAGAAAAGGTGCTTAAGAGCAGCTCAGCACCACTGGCAGGATTCGGGTCATTCCCGAAGGGAGGATAGAGTTGCCTGTATCGTTGGGCCGAAGAGTGTCACCAAGATGATGGACTTTTTGGTCGTTAACTACACATCCTCCTACAAAGCAATATTGGGAAGACCGACAATGCATATGCTTAAAGCAATACCATCCACATATCACCAGTCCACGAAGTTCCCAACACTGGGTGGAGTAGGAGAGATTAAAGGAGAACAACGAGTGTCGCGGGAATGCTACTATACCTCAATGAGTGACAACGACAGGACTTCTACTAAGGGGGGCTGTTGACCTTTCCTTTCTTCCTTCAAATGTGGTTGTTTTTGTTTCTCTACTTTTAGCAAGATTTTTAATTACTATTTCTTTTATGCAATAAAGTATCCATTTGTTTGGTTCTCTGTCAACTATGTCTCCTAAATTTAAAACGAGATACCGAGCGACTTTGATAAAACATCTTGCCTCGTCTATAAGCGTACTCTCAAGAGATATCGACAATACACTACCTTGAGAGTAGGGGGCAATAGGTACTGGCTACTCGGCGACGTGAGCTTGGTAAATCCAACTCTACACGGCGACGGTAAAACCAGCTATAGTCGAGCAGCACGAGCAGGGCTCGGGACCGACCACTGCTCAGGTCCGACCACTATTCGGCGTCGACCAAGTGCGAACGGGCATAAATCTACATTAATCGGCAGTTTTATAAGATAGCCTATTCTTGTCAATAGGTCTTATTTTCGACTGAGCAGGGCTCGGGTCCGACCACTACTCGACGCCGACCACGTGCGACGGTGCACGAATCTACTTTAATCGACACATTTGGAAAGAACAATTAAACAATCTCAACACGGCCGAACCAGAAGCGGGTCGATTGGCCTAGCACGGTTAAAACATGAGATGAAGTAAAAGGCCGAAAACGACAACGGGTGTAAAACCATTGGGTTAGAAACCTACGAAAATCAAAGCAACAAAACTCCATCAGAGTTAGAGCCGTAAGCCAATAAGTGATTGGTAAGAGGGTTAATTGATAATTCCAAAGAAAAGAAATACGATCAACATAGTGATAAAGCGACATAAAATCTGCGGCGGTTAGAGGCTGCTTGCCCCTGAGGTACGACCACAAAATAAAGCAACTAATCAAAGTAGACCACCCATTCGGGACGATTTGGGAATGAGCTACTTGATTAAACGCTAAAAAGTCTTGCAGGGAAAGGGAAAATCGACATACACTTTCTTGTGTCTCGTGAAGATAAGACAGCTCACTGCGACTAGGGTGCCATGAGCCCCACAATGATTCGACAACTCAATCGGCTCGGGCCACGATCCTTGACCGTTAGACCGAAACATTCTCGGTGCGAACCCTGAAAAACTTGTATTCTCCTGGATCACGGGCCTACATGACAAGATAAGTCACTACAAAAGTTATACTCCCAATGA